GNAGCCGAATATTAAAGTTGAACGCAGCTAATTTCGAGCAGAACTTTGATATTGCTATTTCTAATTGTTTCGACATGTTCATTGTAGTTGGTGGATCATCATTGAAGATTTTCGATAAATCAAAAGCTGTCACCTCTGAAAATTCCCTTTTATTTAATATCAAGTATAGGGAATTTTCGTTTCATTGCTTGCGATTGGTGACTGAGAATTCAGAGGAATTTATTTATGCAAGTAAAAGTGGAGGAATTATTAAAATTAGAGTGAAGGATTTGATGGAAGGAAAGGAAGGAATTGTGTGGGAATGTAAAAAATCAAACACGAATATTTGGGGATTGGATTTGATGGGAAATCAAGTGTTTTTTATAGATTACAATAGATCAGTAATTTGTAAAGCAAATAAGGAAACAGGAAAGGATGAAGGTGAAGATGTTATTCATTTATTTAATGGATATGGAATTGAATTTTTATCTGAAAGTGAAATATTGACATCCAATCAACAATCTTTAGAAATTTTCAAAAAACAAGAAAATAATTGGATTTCTAAAAGAAGAGTGGTTATTCCCAAGTGTTCTACCGCTTATTCAATATTTTATGAGAAGGAATCTGGCTTAGTTTACTTATCTGATACTGAAAATAATCGAATTTTTGTCATTAGATTGTTTGATTTCTCAATTGTTAAAACATTTGAAGATTCTAATGCCATTTCAAGAAATTTCGGATTGTTTGTTGATAAGCGAACTGGTTTACTCTATGTTGTTAATAACAAATCCAAAGAAATTTCTATTTTTCAATAATACTTTCGTATGTCAGTTGACCAAATGGTGATTTTCAACAATTCGCACCAGTGGTTATCATCTATGGACGATGAAGAGAACAAGAAAGAATTTAAACTTGATCAATTTTTAATATTTTAAATAATTTTTACTTTTAAAAAAATGTCTCACATTGACGATGAACTATCCTGCTGCTGTTGTTGCATTCTCATCGATGGATCATCTCTCTCTCATCAACCCTCCAACAATGTGTATTACCATAAATTGAGAGAAAAATTCAATGAACAACGTAAAGGCTATACTAAATGGTTACAAGCTCAAGTAAATTTCATTCAATTACAGAGATTACGTAGAAGATCCGAATCAATTGCAGCATCACACACTTATCAGCATCTTCCTATTGAATTTTTATTTGATGATTATTTGGTAATTATGGCAATGAAGAATTTTCCATTGAATTATTCACATATTGTAAAACAATTACCATTTGTTTTGAATAGGACATCATTATTTAGACTTGCGTTTAAGAATTGTTATTCAGATCTGTTGTTTCAAGCCTCAGAAACAGCCAGGAAAGATCCAGAAATTGCACAAATGATTGTTCACTTTAAAGGAACAGAATTGGAATTTCTCTCTGACGAATGTAAAGCCAATAGGAATGTGGTGTTATCTCCCGTTGGAAGTAGTGGATCAATGATTGAATTTGCGAGTGAAGAGTTGAGAAATGATGAGGAAATTATTTTGGCTGCTGTTAAAAATGGTTACGTCAACTTTCCCAAATCAATATTCGAAAGATATCCTCAAGTAGCTGTGGAATGTATGGTTTTATATTGGAATTCTAGAGTGAG